GATAAATTCACATATTTTTCTGCAGGGAGCCACTATTCAACAGATTTCAGATCAGAGAGAGACTTAATACTGTAGGGTGAATTCTCTGAACTGTTTTCCCTAAGAGCAGTTCACAGCAAAGAAGGCATGATTTCTGAATTTATTCTAATGGACATTTATTCTAAAAGAAAGCAAAAGGGCAACAGTGAAAGTAGTGAGCATAACATACCATAATTCAGGCTTCTAAAACCTTATATTCATTTCATTTTTTAAAACATATATTTCCTTAGCGAATTTCTTCCAAGATTACATTTAGCTCTATGTTAGCTATATTGCAGCTTGCTTCAATATCATCGTGCAAGAACTAAAACCCTTTTGACAATAAAAGATTCTAAAGGACGTCCGACAGGAAGGTTGTTTCCCTGACTGGGGAATCTAGAACACTGGCCCACAGCTTCAAAATAAGGGACAAATCATTTAGCACTGAGATGTGGAAAAGTTTGATGCTCAAGAAGCTGTGAATCTTTGGATCAAATGATATGGGAAGTAGGCAGGAACGTGGAGTTGAAGCTGAAGTTCGGTCACAATCATGTTGAATGGTAGAACAGGTTGGATGGGTCATATGGTCTACTCGTGCTCCTATTATGTTTGCATGTTACCAGCCCAGGAATTTGCTTCTGCTCAATAAAGGAAGCCATATTTCTTCCTCAGACAAAGCACCTCAGTGACCTTTCATTTACATTTTTTATTTAACCTATTTTTCTAATCAATCTGTTCAGAGATGTTATTACATGTCTCTGGAACAGGTGGGACTTGAACCTGTGTCTCTCAGTCCGGGGTAGGGACAGTACCACTTTGCCAAAAGAGGGATCCTTAATGCATTTTTAAATCAACCTGTTTAGAGTGCCTATCGAGCACCTCTGGGGCAGGTGGGACTTGAAACTAGGCCTCCCAATCCAGGGGTAGGGACACTACCATATTTACACACACAGTGATAATAGGTTACAGCTGAAAATCTGTTTTATATTCTACATGGTAACCTAATCAAAAAATTTGATATGCTTCTTCATTCATTTCATTCCCACAATTGACCTTTAGAGATTTTTGTCATGGAAATGATTGATGCAAAGCCGTTAGAGGCTTAGCTGACAATTGCAACCAACGATCAAAATAATGACGCAGTTGAAAAAATAAGGTGTCATTTTAAAGGTGCTGCAATTTAATGGTTCACACTCAGTATAATCCTTCATTGGCAAAATTGTTACTAAGTTCTACATTGCTTAATTTCAAATCTGAATAGTTTGCATGCTTCATTAGGGAATATTATGCCCCTTAAACGTAATGGTGGAAGGACGGTCTCCACATCTTGACCCTGCACTTCTTGGAAAAGCATCAATAATGCAATCTCCTGAGAGGCAACCTTCTAATTGACTATCTTGGTATCCAGCTTTAAATTAACAAAGACATGCGTATTCTTGAGGTTGACGGGCCAATCAGAGAGCATCCCACTAGCGAAAGGTGGCGACTACTGCTGTAGGAGAGGGAAGGGAAAGATGGCTTTACCTTGAGCCACCATCTGAAGGGGTTTTACTTTCTTAAACTAAAATGTGGTCAACGCTGCCATGGCCTGTGGCTGAAGCTGTGATTCACTGATTCTTGCACCTCCAGTGCAAGGGAAGAGGAAATGTAAAAACATAAACCTGAACCTCCAAACTCCCCCAACACTCAACATCACCCCATCCCAGACAGAACCTTTCCCAGGGAGTGAGGTTGTTAATAAAGAAATGTGGTCGATGGAGCGAAATTGCGGACACAGGGATGGTTTGAAGTGTGTATATTTCAATGCTAGAAATATCAGAAATAAGGTGGATGAACTTAGAGCATGGATCAATACTTGGAACTACGATGTTGTGGCCATTACAGAAACTTGGGTAACTCAGGGACAGAAATGGTTGTTGGAAGTTCTGGGATTTAGATGCTTTAAAAGAAATAGGGAGGGTGGTAAAAGAGGCGGCAGAGTGACATTGCTAGTCAGGGCTAGTATAGCAGCTACTGAAAGGCAGTTTGAGAATGATATGTCTGCAGAGTCAGTTTGGGTTGAGGTCAGGAACAAGAAAGGAGCAGTCACTTTGTTGGGTTTTTTTTTTAAAAACAGAACCCCTAATAGTTGCAGAGAAGTGGAGGAGCGGATTGGGAGGCAGACACTGGAAAGGTGCAGAAGTCACAGGGTTGTAGACATGGGTGACTTCAACTTTCCAGATATTGATTGGAAACTTTTTAAGTTGTAAAAGTTTAGATGGAGTGGATTTTGTCCAGTGCATTCAGGAAGGATTCCTGACACAGTATGTAGATAGACCAACACGAGGAGAGGCCACTTTGGATTTGGTGCTTGGCAATGAACAGGCCAAGCATTCGACCTGTTGGTCGGAGAGCATTTTGGCAGTAGTGATCATAACTCTGTTACTTTTACAAAAGTCATGTAAAAGGATAGGTACATACAGCAGGGTAAGGTTTATAATTGGGGGAAGGATAATTATAATTCTGTTAGGCAAGAACTGGGTAACATAAAATGGGAACAGATGCTGTCAGGGAAGAGCACTACAGAAATGTGGAGATTGTTTAAAGGAATGCATACTGCGTGTGCTCGATATGTTTGTCCCTAGCAGGCAGGGAAGGGAAGTCAAGTGAGGGAGCCTTGGTTCTCGAGACAGGTCGAACGACTGGTTAAGAGGAAGAAGGATGCTTATATAAGGTTTAGGAAACAAGGATCGGAAAAGGCTCTAGAGGGATACAAGTTAGCCAGGAAGAAGCTGAAGAAAGGGCTTAGGAGAGCTATAAGGGGGCATGAGAAAACCTTGGCAGATAGGATCAAGGAAAACTCCAAGGCTTTTTACACGTACGTGAGGAATAACAGAATGACCAGAGAAAGGATAGGGCCGATCAAGGATTGTAAAGGGAATTTGTGCACGGAACCTAAAGAGATAGGAAAGGTCCTTAAATGAATACTTTTCTTCAGCATTCACAACTGAGGGACCTAGTTGTAGGGGAGGACAGTGTGAAATGGGCTGGTAGGCTAGAGGAGGCGGATGTTAGTAAGGAAGATGTACTAGGAATTTTGAGGAACTTGAAGATAGATAAATCCCCTGGGCCTGATGGGATTTATCCAAGGATTCTATGGGAAGCAAGGGAAGAGATCGCAGAGCCTTTGGCGATGATCTTTTAGTCCTCACTGTCCACAGGTATAGTGCCAGAAGATTGGAGAGTGGCAAACGTCATTCCCTTGTTCAAAATAGGGAACAGGGATAACCCGGAAATTACAGGCCAGTTAGTCTTACTTCAGTGGTGGGCAAATTATTGGAAAGGGCTCTGAGAGATAGGATTTATGATCACTTGGATAGGCACAATTTGATTTGTGATAGTCAGCATGGATTTGTGAGGGGTAGATCATGCCTCACAAACCTTACTGAATTCTGTGAAGAGGTAACCAAACACGTGGATGAAGGTAGAGCAGTGGATGTGGTATACATGGATTTAAGTAAGGTGTTTGATAAGGTTCCCCATGGTAGGCTCATGCAGAAAGTAAGGAGGCATGGATAGGGGGAAATGTGGTAGATTGGATTCAGAATTGGCTGACCCTTAGAAGACAAAGGGTGGTAGTGGACGGAAAATATTCAACATGGTGCTCAGTTATGAGTGGTGTACCACAAGGATCAGTTCTGGGTCCTCTTCCATTTGTGATTTTTGTAAATGATTTGGATGTAGGAGTGGAAGGGTGGTTTAGTAAGTTTGCGGATGATACGAAGGTGGGTCGAGTTGTGGATAGTGCGGAGGGCTGTTCTAGGTTACAAAGGGACATTGATAGGATGCAGAGCTGGGCTGAGAAGTGGCTGATGGAGTTTAACCCTGACAAGTGTGAGGTGATTCATTTTGGAAGGACAAATTTGAAAGCAAAATACAGGGTTAACGGAAAGATTCTTGGCAGTGTGGATCTTGGGGTTCATGTCCACAGTTCCTTGAAAGCTGCTACCCAGGTGTATAGAGTGGTTAAGAAGGCGTATGGTGCGTTAGCTTTCATTAATAGAGGGATTGAGTTCAAGAGCCGTGAAGTTATGCTCCAGCTATACAAAACCCTGGTTCGGCCACATCTGGAGTATCGTGTCCAGTTCTGGTCGCCTCATTACAAGAAAGATGTGGAAGCGTTGGAAAAGATGCAGAGGAGATTTACCAGAATGTTGCCTGGAATGGAGGGAAGGTGTAAAAAGGAAAGGTTGAGAGAGCTAGGGCTTTTCTCTTTAGAACGACGAAGGATGAGAGGTGACTTGATGGAGGTGTACAAAATGATCAGAGGTATTGATAGAGTGGACAGCCAGAGACTTTTTCCTAGGGTGGAGGTAGCTATTACAAGGGGGCATAGTTTTAAAGAGAGTGGAGGTCGATATAGGGGAGACGTCAGAGGTAGGTTCTTTATTCAGAGAGTGGTAGGGGCGTGGAATGCATTGCCGGAACGGGTAGTGGAGTCAGCCTCATTAGGGGCATTTAAGCAGCTATTAGATAGGCATATTAGGATGATTGTATAAGGTAGGGGTGGAGGTTAGATAGACCTGAGGTTTAGGGTAAAAGTTCAGCACAACATCGTGGGCCGAAGGGCTGGTACTATTCTGTACTGTTCTATGTTCTATGTTCTCAAACCTGACCAATTGCCTTTAGCTGCCAGCATTTCCTCAGAATGGGGCCTATCTGTCACTGGGTCGATCCAAACCTGCCATAAGTAGGTTTATTCAACTTGGCCAAGCACAACTAGTGCATAGTTGTTGCCTTTGCTGGCATTACAAAACTGACCAGAAACATGTTAATCACTGGTCTGGCACCCGCACATCAAAATTTCCTTCAGATCTTACCCTCAAGATTAGATCTACAGCACCAGGTAGTTTCCATCCTGAAGGATTTGAAAACTTCAGCCGCCGTGGTATTAAGGTCAAATTGATTTTGCATTTGCAGATTAAATTTACAAAGTCACTTACAGTTCCACTAAGTCCAGAAGATCAACGAAGGCTTTAGGTTCAATTCTCTCCAAAGAATCACTCTGGGAAATATCACTGAAAGATAAGGACACACAAAAGAAACTATTTATTCTATCATCTGAAAAATTATTAATCTATGTTCTCATCTAAACTGGAGCGGAATTAAAAAAATGTTTATGAATTGAATATTTTGTCTGGATCATTTTGTAGGACTATGCTAGGCTGATATTTACCACTGAGTACTAGCGGTGGTTTCATACAGCAGTCCCATACTTACGGAACTTTGACCTGATTCGAAAACTGTGGAGAATGCTCTTGCAGCCTCCTCTTCCTGCTGACAATCAGCAGGGTTTTAAATCCCAAGCTTAGTATCAGAAATATCTCTTACACCCAAGAACTACTTACAAGAATAACAACCTAATATTTTCAAATACCATTTCTACAGCTTATGGCAAAATTTTGATCTACTAGTCAATCTTCAGTGGCATTGTTCATAGTGAGTGAGTCATTTTATAAAAATAATGACATCACGCCATGTGGCATTAATGGGAATATAGACTAATAAACTTTGAGACATTTCTGAGACTTGGAAATATTTTGAAGGGGTCCCAGGACCAGGGTCACATAATTGCATTGGGATCACAACATCCAGCATATTTTGAAAGAGCGAGAGTTTCAAAGACTTGAGAGAACTAGGAGTGTGTCAAGTGGCTGGGCAGGCCAGGACTTTTTTCCCTGGAGCGTGGGAGGCTGAGGGGAGACCTTATAAAGGTTTATAAAATCATGTGAAGCATAGATAAGGTGAATAGTCAGGGTCTTTACCCCAGGGTAGGGGAGTCCAAAACTAGAGGGCATAGGTTTAAAGTGAGAAGGGACAGATTTAAAAGGGATCTGACAGGCAACTTTTTTTTTTAAAACACAGAAGGTAGTGCATATATAGAACGAGTTGCCAGAGCAAGTGGTAGAGGTGGGTACAACTACAACATTTAACAGACATTTGAATAGGAACATGGATAGGAAAGGTTTGGAGGGATAAGGCCAAACACAGGCAAATGGGACTAATTCAATTTAGGAAATCTGGTCAGCATGGACAAGTTGGGTCTGTTTCTGTGCTGTATACCTCTATGACTCTATGATTCTGTGATGCCAGGATAAAGATTGAGTCTCTAGGAAGACTGAGGCAGGCATGCTGAGGATCAATAGTTACCGATGGATAGCAACAACACTGGCATAGAAGCCTGATGACAGTGGTTTTGAATGGGTGGGTGACAGTTGCAGAGGAGAGCGAATTATTTGCATTGTCAGGTAGCATTAGGAGGAATAAAGGAAGTTAGGTGGTTTCAGGAAGCAGAAAATTGATCTTATGAGTAATCCTTTGCACACACCCTTGTCATTTTTTTTAAATTGGGAAGACGCAAGGGAAGATGGGAGAGAGAAGGAGAAAGATACCGAAAGTAGGTGTAGTGATTGTAATGAGGTCAGCCAGGTAGACCTCTTAGAATATGAGATACCTGATTGGGCTATTAATCTGGTCCAATCAGGGATTCCTGGCTGACACAAGCAAACTGGAGTGTCAGACATTCTGACACTCTGACAGCTGCCTCTGACGGAGCTGTATCAGTTTCAAGGACTTTCCACGTGTAAATAAAGGGTAACTTGGTGATGGGATACTGTCCTCTGTGGAGTTCTTTCAGTAGAGATATGCCTGGGAGAGGTCTGGCATTCTGGACATAGCAGTGAGATAGCTTAATAGATAATCTACATCCTGGTCATGAAACAATCCATGAACATCTCACACTTGTTAGGGGTGGCGAGTTTAGATGGGTTTAAGGAGTTGGTTGGAAATTGAGAAAAATAAGTCTGAAGTTATCTTTACTAGTGTTTTGTTTTAATCTTTCCCAATTTAGTTAAAATGCCACATCAATTATTTGCATATCCAAAGGAGGGCATTCATAGAATGAGAATATTATAGGATGGGAGCCCATTCAACCATATTGTACCTAGTCTGAATCTGAGAAAGAAGTAAATCAAGTTGTTTTGTTCCCTTACATGTTTAATTATGTTTCTTTTATTGACCTTAATTTTGCTTTTAAAAGCTGTGATACTGTTAGGGTTCAGGTGGACTTTGCATCCATCATGATTTCTGTTTGGGGATTTTATGGGCAACAAGCTAGTATATTTTACACAGTATGGTCTTACTTCAGGACAACTATTAAAAACATTGAGTAAATGTTGCACTCTCCCTTCCAATATTTATTCCACTTTTGATGCCTGCAACACATTTTGAAGGTTTTTTTGTTGTAATTGATTACAAATCTTTCTTACTGTCATAATTCTGGATAGCTACATACAAGGTTCAATTCAAAATTCATTTTTTGCAATTTTTTTTTATTGTGGGAGACCTATATAATGATAAGTGGAGGTTTATTCACTGGAAGTGTCAATGCCCTAGAATTTCATTAAATTTACAGTGAGCTTGATGAATAGAACTTTTGATGGATTTTTTTTGAGCATCTAGTATCATTAGTACGTAAAATCCAATATAAAACAGAAGTCATCATAAATAATCAAGCTTTAGAAAATTGCAGGACTCACACAATGGGTCATGTTTAGTGGAGGCAACATGGGGTCTCACAAGTACTGCAGAGACAAAGACCCATGTGGAAGGAAGCCCCAATCCAGGAGCTGTCACCAATCAGAGGCTGGCAGCTCTTCATTGATGGGCAGTGCCACTAGGCACACACTTCCTGTGTGAACACCTTTGAACATAGGGCCTAGGATTAATGAGTAGCAGAGTTTCTACTAAACCACTTTCAAAGGTTAAAGAACCTTGTGCATAGTGTTAAACCAGTGTAAAATATCTTCATTTTTTTTGCACTGAAATTTTGCATCACATTGTCCTACCATCATTTTTTTTTGCTTTAAGTTTTTTTTGTAAACTCAGTCATGTTTACCAGAATGTAAAGTGACAAATCAATTTCTTATGTTTATCTGACTCAAGAGTTCTGTCTTCTCATGCACTAGTACATGGTGTTCAAACCGAGTAGGCAGCTAACCACCAAATCTTTTTTGAAGACAACTATCCAGCCATCTCTTACTATATTAAGCCAACTTTACTTATACACAAAGCTGATTAAAGAGTAGTTCAGGTCTAAACATAGAATTCCACTCAACCAAAACCATATTCAACTACTCCTAATACATGGAGTTCTAATTATCTCCGATTTATCAATGATTCACTCTGATTGTGTACAGTTTAGCGGTCAAAACAACTACTTATTCAGGTCCAACTGTATAACAATCCAACTTAACACTTTTCCAATTCTACACCATTATATGAAAATCATTTAGACGAACAGACTTTGGATTTATCTTCGAATAAACAAAACAGTTCAACAAAATGCTGCGATTGCTAGCAATATGAAATAATAACAGAAAATGCTAGAAATACTCACTGGGTTTGGCAGTATCTGTGAAGATAAAAAGTTCACTTTGCAGGTCAATAACCTTTCATCAGATACTGCAAATGTTAGAGACGGAAATAGGTTTGATGCCATTGAGGAGGGACAAGGATGGGAAAAAGAGCAGAAAAGGAGGGTCTGTAATAGGATGGAAGGGAGGAGGGATCAATTAACGAAAGGACTAATTTTGTAAACTCAAATGAAGTAATAAAGGAATTCTTACTTGTGAAACAACAGTAACTGCCCATTGCCCACATACAGTTAATACACAATTATCAGTGCAAGCTAGGTTCAACTTGTTTCAGCTTTGCCTCCTGCTGAGTCATGCCACCCTCAATAGCAAACAGCATTGGCTGCATGGTTTATCATAAAGGTGAACTGGCAGCCCAAACTTTGTGTGCAGTTTCTAACAGAAGAAACAGACATGTGTTAATTGTACATTGTGATCCCCCTTATACATTTTTAGGATGTTTGAATATTTTCAGTCTAGAAGTTTGATCCAAATTAAGAAATATTGAATAAGATATGCCTTTCGTACAGGTCAACTGTCCACAAAAGACTACTACAAGAAAAGTTATTGTTGATTGGAAGCAGAATGTTACAATCAATCTTTAATACAATTTCCTGTAACTGGTTTAGTTTTAGTTTGTCAAAAAAATAACACCAGTTAAGCAGCCTTGTGGTTTAGGAGTTTTAAGTTGTCTCTTCAGCTATCATGAATGAAAACATGCACGTCAGCCAGTGCATTTGATAACAGAATCAAACCCACTTAAATATAAAAGGGATAAATGCAAATCAACTTCAAGCAAAATTTTCAAAACGTTTATTGCTTCTTGCGTATTTATTTCTATGTAATTTCTTTCTTTATATGGAGCTTTAAAGATGTGACTTACATATATTTCGAGGTTGTAAACACTGCAGCAATACAAAGCACATTTTTATTCAATTTCTAATTTCAGGAGTGGGGATCAATATGATCACACCCGATTTTAATTAACTTCTATGCCACAAATGTACATTACATTTACACCAAATTAATTGAACTCATCTCTCCAAACTTTGATTGAATTGATCCACAATTCAAATTCTAGGTAGCTTTTACTGAGGTGCCGAGGTAATTATGTTTAGGTATGGGAACATCTAATTGGAGTCATATCTAGCACGTAGGAAGATAATTATGAATGTTGGAGGTCAGTCACCTCAGTTCCAGGATATCTCTGCAGGAGTTTCTCAGGGTAGTGTCCTAGGCCCAACCATCTTCAGCTGTTTCATCAATGACCTTCTCTTCAGCATAATATCAGAAGTTGGGTTGTTCATCGATGATTGCCCCATGTTCAGCACCATTTGTGACTCCTCAGATACTGAAGCAGTCCATGTTCAAATACAACAAGTTCAAGACAATATGCAGGCTTGGGCTGGAAAGTGGCAAGTAACATTCATACCACATAAATGCTAGGCAATTCCCACCTGCAATTAGAGACAATGTAACCACCACTCCTTGACATTCAATGTTGTTACTATCACTGAATCCCCCATTAATCAACATCCTTGGTGTTATCATTGACCAGAAACTCAACTGAACTCACCATATAAACAAAGTGGCCACAAAACCAG